TCTTTACTAGCATCTTATAGTGCTAATATTTATTACTATAAGCACATATTAGATATCAGTAAACACTAAATACTTTCTTTTCAGTTTTCCTTTTAGTAAAGTTTATTATTCAATCTCCCCTAGCATCTTATAGTGCTAATATTTATTACAATAAGCTCATATTAGATACCAGTAAACACTAAATACTTTCTTTTCAGTTTTCTTTTTAATGAAGTTTATTATTCAGTCTCTACTAGCATCTTATAGTGCTAATATATATTACAATAAGCACATATTAGATACCAGTAAAAATTGAATACTTTCTTTTCGCATTTCTTTTAAAATAAATTAATTATTCAGTCTCTACTAGCATCCCATAGTGCTAATATTAATTACAATAAGCACATATTAGATACCAGTAAACACTAAATACTTTCTTTTCGGTTTTCGTTTTAATGAAGTCTATTATTCAGTCTCCCCTAGCATCTTATAGTACTAATATTTATTACAATAAGTACATATTAGATACCAGTAAACACTGAATACTTTCTTTTTCGATTTTCTCTAAAGAGTTTTATAATTCAGTCTCCCCTAGCATCTTATAGTGCTAATATTTAATACAATAAGCACATATTAGATACCAGTAAACACTGAATACTTTCTTTTCATTTATCCTTTTAGTAAAGTTTATTATTCAGTCTCCCCTAGCATCTTATAGTGCTAATATTTATTACAATAAGCACATATTAGATACCAGTAAACACTAAATATTTTCTTTTTAGCTTTCTTTTTAATGAAGTTTATTATTCATTCTTTACTAGCATCTTATAGTGCTAATATTTATTACAATAAGCACATATTAGATACCAGTAAATACTAAATACTTTCTTTTCATTTTTCCTTTTTATTATAGTTTATTATTCAGTCTTCCCTAGCATCTTATTGTGCTAATATTTATTACAATAAGCACATATTAGAAACCAGTAAACACTGAATACTTTCTTTTCATTTTTCCTTTTTATTATAGTTTATTATTCAGTCTTCCCTAGCATCTTATAGTGCTAATATTTATTACAAAAATCACATACTAGATACAAGTAAACACTGAATACTTTCTTTTCGCATTTTATTTAAAAGAAGTTTATTATTCAGTCTCTACTAGCATCCTATAGTGCTAATATTTATTACAATAAGCACATATTAGATACCAGTAAACACTAAATACTTTCTTTTCAGTTTTCTTTTAAATGAAGTCTATTATTCAGTCTCCCCTAGCATCTTATAGTGCTAATATTTATTACAATAAGCACATATTAGATACCAGTAAACACTAAATACTTTCTTTTCAGTTTTCTTTTAAATGAAGTCTAATATTCAGTCTACCCTAGCATCTTATAGTGCTAATATTTATTACAATAAGGACATATTACATACCAGTAAACACTGAATACTTTCTTTTCGCATTTCATTTAAAAGAAGTTTATTTTTCAGTCTTTTCTAGCATCTTATAGTGCTAATATTTGTTTCAATAAGCATATTAGATACCAGTAAACACTAAAAACTTTCTTTTCGCATTTCTTTTAAAAGAAATTTATTATTCAGTCTCTGCTAGCATCCTATAGTGCTAATATTTATTACAATAAGGGCATATTAGATACCAGTAAACACTGAATACTTTCTTTTCGCATTTCATTTAAAAGAAGTTTATTTTTCAGTCTTTACTAGCATCTTATAGTGGTAATATTTATTACAATAAGCACATATTCGATACCAGTAAACACTAAATACTTTCTTTCCTGTTTTGCCTTTAATGAGGTTTATCATTCAGTCTCCCGTAGCATCTTATAGTGCTAATATTTATTACAATAAGCACATATTAGATACCAGTAAACACTAAATACTTTCTTTTCGGTTTTCTTTTTAATGAAGTTTATTATTCAGTCTACCCTAGCATCTTATAGTGCTAATATTTATTACAATAGGCACATATTCGATACCAGTAAACACTAAATACTTTCTTTCCTGTTTTGCCTTTAATGAGGTTTATCATTCAGTCTCCCGTAGCATCTTATAGTGCTAATATTTATTACAATAAGCACATATTAGATACCAGTAGACACTAAATACTTTCTTTTCAGTTTCCATTTTAGTAAAGTTTTTTATTCAGTCTCCCCTAGCATCTTATAGTGCTAATATTTATAACAATAAACACATATTAGATATCAGTAAACACAAAATACTTTCTTTTCAGTTTTCCTTTTAATAAAGTTTATTATTCAGTCTCCCCTAGCATCTTATAGTGCTAATATTTATTATAATAAGCACATATTAGATACCAGTAAACACTAAATACTTTCTTTTTAGTTTTCCTTTTAGTAAAGTTTATTATTCAGTCTCCCCTAGCATCTTATAGTGCTAATATTTATTACAATAAGCACACATTAGATACCAGTAAACACTAAATACTTTCTTTTCAGTTTTCTTTTTAATGAAGTTTATTATTCAGTCTCTACTAGCATCTTATAGTGCTAATTTTTATTACAATAAGCTCATATTAGATACCAGTAAAAATTGAATACTTTCTTTTCGCATTTCTTTTAAAATAAATTAATTATTCAGTCTCTTCTAGCATCTTATAGTGCTAATATTTATTACAATAAGCACATATTAGATACCAGTAAACACAAAATACTTTTCGGTTTTGCCTTTATTGAAGAGTATTATTCAGTCTCCCCTAGCATCTTATAGTGCTAATATTTATTACAATAAGCACATATTAGATACCAGTAAACACTAAATACTTTCTTTTTGGTTTTCAGTTTAATGGCGTTTATTATTCAGTCTCTACTAGCATTTTATAGTGCTAATATTAATTACAATAAGCACATATTAGATACCAGTAAACACTGAATACTTTCTTTTCGCATTTCATTTAAAAGAAGTTTATTTTCCAGTCTTTACTAGCATCTTATAGTGCTAATATTTATTACAATAAGCACACATTAGATACCAGTAAACACTAAATACTTTCTTTTCAGTTTTCCTTTTAGTAAAGTTTATTATTCAGTCTCCCCTAGCATCTTATAGTGCTAATATTTATTACAATAAGCACATATTAGATACCAGTAAACACTGAATACTTTCTTTTTGGTTTTCTGTTTAATGGCGTTTATTATTCAGTCTCTACTAGCACCTTATAGTGCTAATATTAATTACAATAAGCACATATTAGATACCAGTAAACACTAAATACTTTCTTTTCGGTTTTCTTTTTAATGAAGTTGATCATTCAGTCTCTACTAGCATCTTATAGTGCTAATATTTATTACAATAAGCACATATTAGATGCCAGTAAACACAAAATCCTTTTCGGTTTTGGCTTTATTGAAGAGTATTATTCTGTCTCCCCTAGCATCTTATAGTGCTAATATTTATTACAATAAGCACATATTAGATACCAGTAAACACTAAATACTTTCTTTTTGGTTTTCACTTTAATGGCGTTTATTATTCAGTCTCTACTAGCATCTTATAGTGCTAATATTAATTACAATAAGCACATATTAGATACCAGTAAACACTGAATACTTTCTTTTCGCATTTCATTTAAAAGAAGTTTATTTTCGAGTCTTTACTAGCATCTTATAGTGCTAATATTTATTACAATAAGCACATATTAGATACCAGTAAACACTAAATACTTTCTTTTCGGTTTTCTTTATAATGAAGTTTATTATTCAGTCTCCCTTAGCATCTTATAGTGCTAATATTTATTACAATAATCACATATTAGATACCAGTAAACACTAAATACTTTCTTTTCGGTTTTCTTTTTAATGAAG